ACTGAGGACAGACTGAGTACAGACAGAGGACAGACTGAGGACAGACTGAGTACAGACAGAGGACAGACTGAGTACAGACAGAGGACAGACTGAGTACAGACAGAGGACAGACTGAGTACAGACTGAGTACAGACAGAGGACATACTGAGTACAGACAGAGGACAGACTGAGTTCAGACTGAGTACAGACTGAGGACAGACAGAGTACAGACAGAGGACAGACTGAGTACAGACAGAGTACAGACTGAGTTCAGACTGAGTACAGACTGAGGACAGACAGAGTACAGACAGAGGACAGACTGAGTACAGACAGAGGACAGACTGAGTACAGACAGAGGACAGACTGAGTACAGACAGAGGACAGACTGAGTACAGACAGAGGACAGACTGAGTTCAGACCGAGTACAGACTGAGTACAGACTGAGGACAGACAGAGGACAGACAGAGTACAGACAGAGGACAGACTGAGTACAGACAGAGGACAGACTGAGTTCAGACTGAGTACAGACTGAGGACAGACAGAGTACAGACAGAGGACAGACAGAGTACAGACAGAGGACAGACTGAGTACAGACAGAGGACAGACTGAGTACAGACTGAGGACAGACTGAGTACAGACAGAGGACAGACTGAGTACAGACAGAGGACAGACTGAGTACAGACTGAGGACAGACAGAGGACAGACAGAGTACAGACAGAGGACAGACTGAGTACAGACTGAGGACAGACAGAGTACAGACAGAGAACAGACTGAGTACAGACTGAGGACAGACAGAGTACAGACAGAGGACAGACTGAGTACAGACAGAGGACAGACTGAGTTCACACTGAGTACAGACTGAGGACAGACAGAGTACAGACAGAGGACAGACTGAGTACAGACAGAGGACAGACTGAGTACAGACAGAGGACAGACTGAGTTCAGACAGAGGACAGACTGAGTACAGACAGAGGACAGACTGAGTTCAGACCGAGTACAGACTGAGGACAGACAGAGTTCAGACTGAGTACAGACTGAGGACAGACTGAGGACAGACTGAGGACAGACTGAGTACAGACAGAGGACAGACTGAGGACAGCTCTCAGGTCCTCATGCACTCAGCTGACGCGGCGAGGAGTAACAGAGCTCAGGGCGTGTGGCATCATTCCTTCTGCTCTGAAGCATATCTTACGTAATATAGTAACATTTATGAGATCCTTTAAATTGATACTATCTTCAATCTATGACATTGGCCTGATGTTATATCCCCAATCTCATGCACCTGAGCTTTCTGTGTATTTGAACCATTCAAACTGTCTCTGAACTGCAGGTCCCATCAAACTGTCATCAGCTAAAACCAGATTTGCCATACACTACTAAACTATCTTTCCTGTGTAAACTATCTGTGCGCTGATCTTTTGAAGTATTCTAAGCATTAAGGCTTGAGAAACCTGATTTCATTTTTATCCAGCATTTAGTCTTAAACATTGGTTAGGTTTGAGTAGATAGTTAACCTAACAAATATTATAAAAACTTCACAATTCCTTAAAGAGGCTTTATTATGATCCATGGGGGTTTCCCTCTCCTGTAGTGTGTTCAATAGGTTTGTGTGCATGTAAATGGTCTGCAAAGGCTAAAATCCCTGTGTCCCCTCCAGAGGGAGTTTCACACACACCCCTGCCTGAAACGCCTCCATTTGACTCCTTTGTTTAAGTCCGTAAGATAATGACATCTATAACACTTGGCTTTTATTGGCTAGTGCTCCAACACATTGTACCTTATTTTTTCCTAGTATTCTTGTGACAGTGGACCCTCTACACCCCCATTCATAAACATTAGAGTGCACATACTTTAGGTAAGGGTCTTTCTTCCTGGTACAATCATATTTCATAGTATTGTATTCTTCCACCGTTGGAAACAGTTAAAGGAAAGAGGTACTGACTGTGAGAGGGCGTTTTGTTTGACAAATGAAGTGTTGTGGCGGCCGGCCCATAGGGGTGCTAGGGGCGCCGCCCCCCCTCTTCCCACATTAAAAAAAAATATATATATATATTTAAAAAATATATTTTTTATTTTTATTTTTATTTTTATAAACAAGGTAAATATTATATAATTGGTATCAGTAAAATGTATAATCTACAATAAAATCTCGTTTAAAATTGTGTTACGATGTCTAAAGTTACTGATAAGTCACATGTTTCCTGCCTGGCCTTGCCCGTGTATCATTACTCACTCTCGTCTGGGCGCTATGCACAGCGCCCAGACGAGAGTGCAGCAAGTGCAGCAGAAGCCAACTCAAGGTTCAAGGTTCAAGGTTCTTTATTGTCAATCTGACATAGCTACAGAGTAATTATGCAGTTGAAAGTCTTATGTCACAGGCTTCTCCAACAATGCAACATAATAACATAATAACAATAAGAGCATGAGCAATACAAAAATAATAATAGTTATAAAAATGAAATAAAGTTATGATGTGGAATAGTGCAGTACGAGTCTATATACAAGTTATTGGAATGATATATATATATTAGGTATTAGATACATACTACTGAGTAGCAGATGAATGTTTGATGTTGTTTCAACAGTTCAATTTTTTAACAGTCTCACTGCCCGCGGGAAGAAACTGTCTCCGAATCTTCTTGTCCTTGCCAGGATGCTGCGGTAACGTCTGCCAGACGGCAACAGAAAGAACAGTTTGTGGCTGGGGTGATGGGGTCTTTGATAATCCGTAGTGATTTCTTCCTGAGCCGCTGAGAGTAAAGGTCCTCCATGGATGGCAGCTCCGTCCTGGTGATGTGCTGTGCAGTTTTCACCACCCTCTGCAAAGCCTTATGATCGAGGTCGGTGCAGCTGCCGTACCAGGCCGTCATGCTGCCAGTGAGGATACTCTCTATCGTGCACCTGTAGAAGTTGCAGAGTATCCTGGAGTCCATTTTGAACCTCCTCAACCTGCGGAGGAAGAAGAGCCGCTGTCGAGCTTTCTTGGTGATGGTGGTGGTGTGAAGAGACCATGTCAGGTCCTCAGTGATGTGGACCCCAAGGAACCTGAAGCTTTTGACTCTCTCCACCGTAGTCCCATTGATGGCGATGGGGGCGTGTCCCTCTCCCTGCTGCTTCCTGTAGTCCACAATCAGCTCCTTTGTTTCGCTGATGTTGAGATGGAGGTTGTTATCCTGGCACCAAGATGTCAGGTTTTCGACCTCCTCTCTGTACGCCGTCTCGTCATCGTCTGTGATCTGGCCGATGACGGTCGTGTCATCAGCAAACTTCACGATGGTGTTGGAGCTGTGTGTGGCCACGCAGTCGTGGGTGAACAGGGAGTAGAGGAGAGGGCTGAGCACGCAGCCTTGAGGGGCACCGGTGTTGAGGATCAGGGTGGAGGATGTGATGTTTCCCAACCGCACTGCCTGGGGTCTGCCCGTCAGGAAGTTCAGGATCCAGTCACAGAGGGCGCTGTTGAGCCCGAGATCTCTGAGCTTGATGGCCAGCTTGGAGGGCACAATGGTATTGAATGCTGAACTGTAGTCAATGAACAGCATTCTCACATATGTGTTCCTGTTCTTCGGGTCCAGGTGTGAGAGGGCAGTGTGGAGGGTGAGGGCTATGGCGTCGTCTGTGGACCTGTTTGCTCTGTAGGCAAACTGCAGGGGGTCCAGAGATTCAGGGAGGGAGGAGGTGATGAATAATTTGACTAACCGCTCAAAGCACTTCATTATGATGGAGGTGAGTGCTACTGGGCGGTAGTCGTTGGGGCAGGTGATTTTTGTCTTTTTGGGGACAGGAATGATGGTGGAGTGTTTAAAACTGTTGCTATCTTTAAACTATGCCGCCGAAACATAATTTCAGCCAATCAGCGTCGTCAAATCTGATGGTCACAGGGCGCCTACGTCAGCGCCCGGTGCAGTCTGTGAGTTGTTTGGACTCGTATCCAAGGAGACAAAACAGGAAGCTGTCATACACTCTGGAAGCTACCATTAGCAGCTAATGAAAACTCCGTTTTTGACATAAAAATGGAATTATGGATCATCAATCATTTTTTCAAAGTGACAGACACATTTGATTAACCTATGGATTAACCTTCAGCTGCGTTTTTCTCGTTTTTGATCAGAATTGTTATTCTGCAAAAGGTGAGCATATCTCCGTGTTTTGCTACCTAAAGCTACATCGTGTGATGTCTGTATTTGCTTCCCCTGTCGCGAGTTCTGATCGCTCAGTGATGATACTTATATTTCTAGAATCTGTGGAATCTCAGCTTGTTAGCATAAGCTTGTTTGTGCATATCCGATAAGTATATCGATTGATTTATACCTAGAGTGCGTTAGCATTTTTTCGCTCAGGGCTCATTTAGACGCTTCTTGTGAGACTTGTGTTTTGTTTCGGTAAACATGGTTCATATCATCAGTTAGCTGCGTTTCCTCTGAGTAGGACACATGAATAGTTTATTACATTTTAAGAAGCCCTGAGACACAGTTTCGTGAGAAAAAAAAACGGGGGAAAAAAGCCCCTTAACAGGTTAAATGGGAATTAAATCATTTTAAGTAATTTTGAGTGTTCCCAAAGCCCCGGTGTTCTGCAGTTTGTGTGGGCCTACTGTACTGTTGCACAGTTTATACTGTAGAAACTATGTCCCCCCCTCCTCTAACATCACCAGAAGTCATAATTTAGGGGGTCTTTTCTCCAAAAAATGTACCGGGGGAGCATCCCCCCGGACCCCCCTAGTATTGTTTGATCACCATTTCCACAGCCCCACCTAAAATATTTTCCACCAGCCGCCACTGGTTGTGGTGATAAATGACATGATAAAACATGTGGTTCAAGTGCAAGTTTGCTGAGTAACAGTGTGTAACTGTCCAGGGTGCTGGAGTGAGAGAGAAGGAGGGGGAGAGAGAGAGAGAGAGAGGGAGGTGATGTCATAGTTTTTATTCTGTGCCATAGAGGAAGGGTGCAGGCTTCCTCCTTTACCTTCGCTCCTGTCTCCATCTCTAGCCAACATCAGCCTCAGCATGAGAACTCACCGCGGATAAAAGAAGCAGAAAAGGAAATAGATCCGTGTCTGCAGGTGGAGGAAACAAAGCCTGCTCTCTGCTGCATGTGAGCGGATCATCACTGGAGAAGAAGTCCGCCTATAAAACGCGATATGGGCCAACATATGGGGGCCAGCCCCGGGTCAGTGCTCAGTTCTTTCTTTATTCTGTATTATGAGCAGGCGGCTGTTTAGAGGAGCTAGTTCCTGTCCAGAGAGGAGGCGGAGGAGGCGGAGGAGGAGGAGAGACACACAGAAGGGTGTCGACGGAGAGAGGCAGGGGTAGAGGAGAAGAGGAGGGGAGGAAGAATAATAGAGTAATATTACAAGCTTCCAATAATGGCGGCTAAATCGGACGGGGTCCTGAAGATAAAGAAGAGCGACGTTGCCTTCACCCCGTTGCAGAACTCGGAGCACTCCGGCTCGGTGCAGGGGCTCCACCCGGGAGCCCAGCCCGACTCTGCGGGCACCGGGGACTTCGCGAACGGGGAGTCGCGGTGCTGCGGCGGGGGAGGCTCTGGCTCGACGTGCCTCCGCCTGGTGAGAGAGCAGCAGAGGTACACGGTGTGGGACTGTCTGTGGATAGTAGCCGCAGTTGCAGTGTATCTTGCGGATGTCGGCACCGACGTGTGGCTGTCGGCGGACTACTACCTCCGCGGCGAATACTGGTGGTTCGGCCTGACGCTCTTCTTCGTGGTGCTGGGCTCCTTCTCCGTGCAGCTGTTCAGCTTCAGATGGTTCGTCCACGACTTCAGCACCGAGGACGGCTCGGAGTCCTCCGTGGATTGCTCCCACATGGATGGGAACAAGCTGCTGAGCGGCTCCGCCTCACACGGGGATGTGACTGCGCAGCACCACCCGGCCACGCCGCAGAGACAGGCGTCGACCGCCAGCAAGAACACCACCACCAACAGCACCAGCAGCACCGCGGCGGGCCGGGGAAGGAAGCGTCCGGCCTACTACTCCTTCTGCGTGTGGAGCAGCCAGTCCGTCATCCACATCTTTCAGCTGGGCCAGATATGGAGGTATTGGGGCCTTGGGATGGGTAACAATTATGTGTTTTTGTTTTGCAGTAGGCCTACTTGTGAGGACCGGCTATCCCAATCTGTGAGGACATTGTGTGTGTGTTTGTGTGTGTGTGTGTGTGTGTGTGTGTGTGTGTGTGTGTGTGTGTGTGTGTGTGTGTGTGTGTGTGTGAATTAATGAATGAGCATGGTGGCCTCTTACAGTGGGCATGGCTCCCAGCTGCCCCCCCCCATGCAGAGCCAACACACATGAAGGGCCCACTGAGGGTCACCTATCTTTATATATCTCTACCAACTGCTCATGAAAGCTAACACTGTATGCTAAACATTAAACATATTTTCATCTTGAATTAGAATCCCCTGCAGTCTGTCACACCTGGAGTCTGATTGTTGTTGATGCTGTGGATGCTTTCAGGTTTGCTGATGTTGAAATGAACCTCCCAAAAAGCCTCTGGGGTTGATGAATCTGAATAACACTGTGTGATGAGCATGTGCGTGCAACGTGTTGGCATTTTACTAAATTCCCATTCAATGTGATAATGGCTAATGATCTGTACATGTGAGTGTTTAGATAGTTCACTTTAGTCTAAGTAGTGGGTCTCAAACGGTTAGGTAATCATTTATGTAAACAAGTATTTCCAACGCACACTTTTATATGATCATTATAGTTATTATAGTTACAAGAGAATAAAAGGTATGAAATCATTCCAAACAAAACTACAGTTTAAAAGGGGAGTGATTTGTAAAATATGCATAAAGAAAAAGTCAATCTGTTTACAGTTCTGTTTCCTATGGGTGTTGAGAGATGTATCCATAGATTTAGTCCCTAATGTTGCTCTCAAAGTGCAGCAGATTGATGCTTTTAACTTCAATATTTAAAAAATACCACCACCTGCCCACACCCTCTGTCAAATTGTCCCACCCACATTGAGGATGCTTCCTACGCCCATGCATGTGATGAAAGAGTGCGCTGGTGACAATTCATTTAAAATGGCAAGCTTTAAAAAAAAGAAAATGTACTGTAAGACATATTATTCACTTAAAAAATATATAATTCACATTTACATAATGTCAACAAATTATCAGTATCAGTATTATTCTTTCTGTGAAAGATGGTCTCAACAAACCTGATTTACTTTGTGTATGTAGATTATTGCTGAAACAATTAGTCAATCAGTTAAAAAATATATATTAGGCAACAATATTTGATCTTACTGTTCCTACAATGTGAATTGCGATGCATTTCTTTGTTGTCTATCAGTGTTAACTATCTTTTGTTGTTGAAATATTGGTCTTACTAAAAATAGATTTAAGATTTAGCTATACAAAAAAAAGTCTAAGCATTTTTCAATATCTTATGACATTTTTAAGACAAAAATGAAAAAACTATTCACAGATAAATTACTATCACAAATGATAGTTGGTCCCAATCCAAATAAGAACTCTCTATGCAGAACTAAGATCAGTGACCCCACCATCAGCTGTAGAAATGAGTTCTCACTGAAGAGGAAAGGCTGTGTTTGTTAGTAACTTGGGTAAACAAAAAATAAACAAGTATTTTAATGTGTTATTGCTTTAAGATGATTGAAGGACAATACATTGTGGTAAAATATCCATCTTGTTTTAGTTTTCTGTGGACAATGTAATATTTTCTTTAAGAATTAATGTTCAACTTTGTCTTTGCATCAAACTCTGTTGACTTTATATGCAATCGCACTGCCTCTAACATTTGCTCTGTGTTCTTTATGAATACACAGGTAAAGAAAAAATATCTTATCTGGACAAATAAGAGCAACTACAAAATGCATTTCCTGCAGAAGATGCGTGTGAATGCTGTAATCTGTGAACATTTGTTGCTGAATTTAGCTGAAAATGCAGAAAAAGCTGAATATGTTATTAGCTGAATGGTCTCTGTAGCTGCTTTTAGCTACAAAGACCAAGTGAGTGTGTTGCTGAACTTAGCGGAGAAATGCAGAAAAGTGAAATGATTTGAATCAAATTGTTACAGCTCAAATGCATTGCAATGACTTTGTTGAAAACTTGAAAGTGAAATGTTAAACTGGAAAAGTAGGAACAATAGTGAAGAAGCTTAATATTTAAAAGAAAAGGTTTAAAAAAGGTATAAACAACAACATGTATAGCCTCAATGTCCTGAAATAGCTGAATAAGTTAATAGTTGAATGGTTTATAGCTGAAAGTAGGCTGAAGGAGTTACATATTAAATGTAAGTAGTAGTGAATGAATGTTTACAAACACCTGTGTGTGTAAGCCCAGAGATCAAAGGTTACCATGGTGACGACGTTATTAAACATCTGTGTACGTGAGCCCTGAGATCAAAGGTTTCCATGGAGATGGGCAGTGAAAGGAGAGCCTTTCCATTGTTCTGAATGAGAGATAAACCTCTTGCATTTCTAACTTTTGTTGAAAAAATAATAATACAAACCTCCAGTCTGTCTGTGGGCGTGTACCAGTCTGTCTGTGGGCGTGTGTGCTCTGATTAGATGATGTCACTCAGGTTTGTGGCCCCAATCTGGCCAGCAACCCCATGGTTACCAACTGCAGCACTGAGTCCCATTAAGAATGCATTGAGGATTATATCTGACAATTTTGCCACCTGTTCAAAAACTATGGCTCCTATAAAAAAATGACGAGAAAGTGAGCATCAGGGAACCCCAATGAACTGATATATGTTTTTCTTTTGGGTTTTGTGTGTCAAATGTGAAGATGGGAGCAGTTTGTCTAAAGTTGACTTCTCTCTGTTCTGAAGAAAGTTCCGGTCAAATTTAACATGGGAGTCTATTTGAAGCTAGGTGAACTTTTTGTCACTCTGATCACTATTGGGCCAGAACGGTGTGTCCGTTTGATATGATGAAGGCAATTGAGCAGGCCAGACTAATTATGCTCCTGAAATCTTTTGAAATGATTTGAATAGAGCAGGGGTACTCAAACCTTTTTATTAAAGGTCCAGTTGTGAACTTTATACAAGGTCACTGGTCCGGATCAATGCCAGTAAAGTCCCCCCCCCCGTCCCTCCCCCCCCCCGACATGTCATTGCAGTTCATTAAAGGGTGTTTCATGTTGTCGTTGCTGTGGACCTTCTTAATCTACCTTCTTAACTTGTATATAGACTCGTACTGCACTATTCCACATCATCACTTTATTTTATTTTATTTTATAACTATTATTCTTTTTGTATTGCTCTTGCTCTTATTGTTATTATGTTATTATGTTGCATTGTTGGAGAAGCCTGTGACATAAGATTTTCAACTACATAATTACTCTGTAGCTATGTCAGATTGACAATAAAGAACCTTGAACCTTGAACCTTTGGGGGACCCCTTCTGGTCCAAGCCCTTGCCTGCCTTGCCTGTCGGTAAACGGCGCCCCTGTATACACACACACATTCAATACATACATACAGTATGGTGGCTTGAACTAGTGGGAGAAATGGCACTGTTTGTCTGTAGTCAATGCTTTGAACCTCGGCAAAAAAGGCATTAGAAGCATTAGAAAGTCAAGGTAAACTTGCGGTTAACTTGCGGTCTGCTATGCGTGTCACGCTCGCACACACAAGTAAATATATATGCACGTTCATTCTCACAACGCGTCAGACACAAGACGCGCGTACATGATGATGTACATTAATTTATCGGAATCAGATTTTTTTTTTAATTTCTTTTTTTTTATAATAATTATTATTTTTTTTTTTTTTTATAATGGGACACAGGGTTCGGTCCGGATTGATTTGCAGTTCGGTCCGGATCCGGACCTTGGTCCGGAGTTTGAGAAGCCCTGGAATAGAGTGTATATTTTGGCTCTGAGAGCAGTTTTAAAATATTTCTTCCGAAGATTTTTAAGACCCTCTACAATACAGTAAGAGATGATGTCACGCACTCTAGCCCTGAAGAGTCCTTCCCATAGACAACCATTATAAAATCTAAAACAGCCTGAAAATTTACCAAAACTTACACGTTGATAAGTCAAAAACCGTAAAAAGATATCTGAATAAGAGTTTAATAGCTGAAGGTCTTGTGATCATTTTAAAGTTGGAATGAAGTCTCTAGCTGAAAGTGTTATGGAATAATTCTTCTAGATATCTAACCTTTTGCTCTGTGACGTTTTATGATCTACTCTGACGTCTGTTATCTCCTTTAAGGAAAGGCATTGGTGCCATATGTATTGTTGTTACCAGTTTGTGACCGGTCAACTTGTCTGGCACGAATGGTAATTGTTGTGAGAACGCTGAGGCACTTCTTTATCGGTGTTTGTGGACTCTAAGATGTGAAATCTTTGAGGCCATGAGTGTCGGACGCAGGTGGTTCAGTGTTCCCAGCTGTTTAGTCTACTCTCTCAGAGATGTTGATTACTCTCTGTGAACCAGTTAAAAGGTCTAGCATAGAGAGAAGCTCTTCAGAATTGACGTGGCAACTCTACCGTGAAGTCAGACCCTCTGACTCTTTGATTTGTGATGTGAATCCTCCGGCCGAATACTCTGAATAAACCCATCAGTGTTTGACATCAAAAGCTCCAGCTCTCACCGTGTCTCCTTCCTGAGTCGGTGACTCCCACTGCATTGCTACACAGAAGTTTCCCCCACAGAAAGTATGTGGAAGGAGTAGCATTTGGTGCAAGGTGTAGGTAAAAGAGGATTTGAAGGCTCCTCCCATTGACTTCCATATTAAAAAAAGAGTTTAAAAAGCTGAATATTTCAAAAAGTACAAAATATTTTGAAAAAGTTGAAAGTTTCCCATTGATTGCTGAAAAGGCTGTTTGAATGGTTTCTGTAGCTGAAAGTAGGCTGAAGATATCGGACGGCAAAGTATTGGTTGAAATAATAAGAAGAAGATATAAAGATTTGAAGAACTATAGTGTGAATGCTGTGGCACAGCATTCGCACTAACTATGTTATTTTTGTAATTTTATTTTTATTTTTAAAACGGTTGGGGTTTCTTACTAGGAAATGCTACAACCTTGCATGTGACATGCATGTTGTTTCAACATTTATAATACCCAGTGACCAATCACATTTTAAATGTGTGTGTGCTTTCTGTGTCATAGTTACACTCTGACCCTGCTCTGCTGCTGTTCACGGATCAGTAATGATGAGCAGGTCTACCGATCTTGTAATTAGGGCTGGGCGATATGATACCCCAATATCATTATTATATATATATTATTATATTGCAGGGTTGACCATTGTGGCCTTCTCAAAATAGAAACATGTAGTGTGGATTTAATGACTTTCCGGGTAAAGGCAAATAATATAATAAATAACCTTAAGTCTGGTAAATTCAGAAAATGACATCAATTTACTATATTGCAGCCTGTAAAACAAGGATTAGAGAACACCAATATTAAAACATCCAAAATAAGCCGATATCTTGTCTCATATCACAAAATCAATACATTTATTTTACAGCCCTTCTCGGAAAACAGCAGCCATCAGTCTAATGGTGATACGCCGAGGGGCTTCAGCTAATAGCTGCAGTTACAGTTAGGGATGTCCCGATCCGATCACGTGATCGGGGATCGGAGCCGATCACGTGATTTTCACGTGATCGGGGATCGGGAGAAAAAAATCGGGGATCGGAATTTTTTTATTTTTATTTTATAAAATATTTTTATACATTTTATTTAATGTTACAAAACAAAAATGACAATGTTCACGTCTTAAAGTCATCCTGAGGCCTTAGTTTTGGGTTAAAATTACACAACATCATGTATGTGTTGCTTCTTTTGGGCTTGTTTTCATAGACCTGGTTGCTTATTTCTCTCAAATCTGGCAACAGAGTGGGCAGGGCGCAGTGTCTAATAGTAGCAGTAAGCTAACAAGAGGCTACGTTCAGCTGGTGACTCGGGAGTCGGGACAGAGAAAATGTCAGGAGTTTGGAAGTATTATAAAATTGAAAGCGAAGGCAGTGTAACAGCCAGATGCAATGTTTGCAAGGCGGAGGTTCCGCGTGGTGGAAAGAACAGAGCTACGTTCAACACGACCAATCTAATACAAACACCACCAACAACAACACGACGAGTACACAGCGGCCACTCAGGTAACGGCACTGAAACAACCGACACTTTCAGAGACTTTTAAAAGGAAAGAGAAACTACCCCAGAACAGTGAAAAGGCCAAAAAAATAACAGCCAAGATAGCTGAATTCATCGCGTTGGATGACCAGCCGTTATCTGTTACCTTTTTTTTCCTCTTAATGCATTGCATAAAGATCGGATCGGGAAAAATCGGTATCGGCAGATTGTCAAAATCAAATGATCGGAATCGGATCGGGAGCAAAAAAAGGTGATCGGGACATCCCTAGTTACAGTTGTAGAGATGGAGTTGATTGATTGTTTCACAAGATAACAAGCTCATTTTGAGCTAATAAAAGCTGAGTTGTCATCAGATGACAGCAGGTCGGGGGTTTCTTTTTCGGCCAATGTGTTCCAACACTTTTGCTCTTCATATGGACTGTTTGCCTGCGTGCAATTAAAACGTATTTAGCATGGTTCATAGAGTGGTGCGGAAGTTAGCATCACATGGGCTCCCTCGACCAAAAGCACTGGGATATTTGCATTGGATTTCAGAATATTGACGAAAATAACATCTGTTAAACACATGTTTATAATGCTCACGCGTTTTGTTCAGCAGGATAATCTCCACATGTTAATACCACTTGTATAATTGTTAAAGCATACATCTAATCTACTTGAGAAATTAAGTAAATAGCTAACTTAATGCTATAAAGGTCAGATGACTCCACGTCTAAGCTAAAAGGAGGAAGTGAATAAATAACATGTACTGGACTTGGACTACATGCTCACTTTTATTCAGCTATTCATTTCAAAAAGTGTTCTTTACAGTTAGGATTGTTGACCATATTGTTGCTTGCAGCAGGAAGTATCACACAGCACTGTTTTTATTAACATTTGAGCACAATGGTCATGTTGGTGTTGGCTAGAGTTGGGGGCGAGGGAATGCATCATGTCAACAGATGCCCCGTCTGCCTCTGCATTATTCACAGAGCTCCTCCAGAGGACAGGGAGACAGCCAGCAGCACGCTGTACTGTAATGACTCTGATTCCTGCTTCATACGTTCTGCAGCACAGATGCAGGTGGAGCTGTACGGTACTATGACTCCACTGTCACAGTACCAATAAAAGTGCGCAAGGCAGAAATGTATTTTGGGAATAGCTACTGTAGAGGAGTACTGAACTCTCCGACCAATTACAGTACTGTATGTTTATTACTAATCCAAAAAACCCTCAACACAGCACAGCAGTTCATCAGTTCACATAAAGACTCTGAATGAGATATAAATGGAAAATAAACCAGACTTTGCCAGAGAGAAAAATGTCAAATGAGACGGACACATACTGTATCTGCTGAAGCCATTTGTTATCTATGGCACGAGTGCACCTTTAAAACAAGTAAATCAACAATATTTTTATCATTTTACCAGTGACCCTTTATTGTCAGTTCTACCGTTATTTTTAGATTAATTAACATCTTACAATAGTCCCTAATATTTCTTATTTGTTCTCTCACCTTGAAAAGCAAGTTATGGCTATTGCTCGAAAAGTGCTTTGCAAATAAACCGTTGTTATTATTACTATTAAGCTTATTATAATAATAATAATAATTATTATTATTATAATTATTATTGTAGAGTCTGATGGTATTTCTTTGTTAGATACCCTTGCACCTGTCTGAACATTTCTTTAATACCAAAAAACAAGGGCAACTGCACTCTTAGTAATAATGGGCTTTGAATGGACAGTGAACTTGAAGCGATAATATTATCACATACTTTTCAAAAGTAAGCTTACAGAGTGCCTTACAGACATAACAATAACAATGCAATTACAACTTAGACAATTCAAGCAGCTAGTAAATAAAAACATAGAAAATCTTAATAATAAGTCGATGAACACACTTTTCACATCTATAGGTATATTTCTCATTCTCATTTTGCATTAAAATGCTAGCAAATTAATGAGATGTTTCATTAGGTAATGGATTGAAATGATGACATAAATTCAAAGCTACTTGAGTACTCGAATGCGGCCTTCACTCCTTTTAAATCCTCCGTCACCTGCAGAGAGCTACTGCTCTACTGCCACCTGACTAATGGCTTAAACTAATAGCAAGAGGCTTGAGTGCTAATATAAGCACTTGTCCTCTGCTTGAGGTTAAAAAATAATGACCTATTACCATGAGTATGAATAACAGCGACCTAGATACATTTATTTTTGGTTGATTTAAACTGATTTAAAAAAAATGGACGTGGTTACATTATAGCTCAGTTTCCAATACCACTGATAGCCAACTTCAATAACTTCATTAGCGTGCCACTAGCATGACGACAACATGTCTCAGACTTGTGCGTCAGTTTTTTGGTGTCCCCTAGGAACAGCGTGTTTCTTTATTGATTTGTGTTTTTTTTATTTTCAGTGTTTTGTTTTCCTTCTTAAAGTCATGTTACATATAGTCTGGTTGATGTTAAAGCACTATATTTTCTCTCTGTTTTCCTTCAAGGTATTTCCACACCATCTACCTGGGCGTTCGGAGTCGTCAGAGTTCTGAGACGGAGCACTGGCGCTACTACTGGAGGATGGTGTATGAGTTTGCAGATGTGAGCATGCTGCATTTACTGGCCACCTTTCTGGAGAGCGCTCCACAACTGGTGTTGCAGCTGTGCATCATTATACAGACACATAAGCTCCAGGCTGTGCAAGGTAATACACTCACTCACAAGCACACACAAACACACATGTTTCTCCATATTTGTGAGATTGACTTTATGCGTTATTCTAACCTTAACTATCACAACTAAAGGCTTATCTCCAACTCTTTTCTGCCCCGTAGCCAAAATGGAATCCTTTTATTATCTTGTTTTTGGATTTATATAATTATGTTTTACACTTAGTAGTTTAATATATTTGACCTGTGATCATGCACCATCTGCTGGATGTAAACTGCTTCCCTTAACCTGAACCCCATTCGAACCTTAAAGTCTTAAACTTCAAACAACCCCTTTGAAGCAGTGACAACAGGCCAAAGCAAAGGCTTATTAAATACCTCGAAATGCACCGGGACGACAGGCAAGAGGGGGGGAACATGAAAGGGCACTAACAAGCTAAGTTGGTGACTATAGAACATTTGTACTAACTTCCACTCTGTCGGAGTGTGTGCCTCAATAGACTTAAATACTTATAAGGTCTAACAGGCCTTGCTACAGTACGTTTTTTTTTTACAAATTTGAAAACTTTTGCAACTGGTGTCGCAATAATTCAGTCTGCAGCACTAGGATTCTAAGTTGAAATCCAAAGTTAAATCCACTGTGGCTGGAGAGATGCCTGGCAATGACCAGGGTGCTCGTATGCAAGGCACTCAACACCCAAATGCTGTGGGCACCGTCCTATTAGGTATCCCCCTCATCTGACCTACTTTAATGCATATGCATGAATCATTTTTGTGTTTGTAAAAAGTATATTTCCCCTCGAGGGATTCATATATGCCTCTTTATTTACTTTTGACAGTGCCATACACCATGAAATGATGCCCAGCTCGCTGCACATTATCAGGCTGATTATATGGCTACCTACTAAATGAATCAATAGTTTGAAACTAAATATTGATTGAAAAAGGGATTTTAGTGATTTAATGATCTACTTCGTTAGCAACCTTGCCCTTTAGCCTTCTTTGTATTAGCAACACTCTTATGTGATCGGTTATGAATAGCACATACAATTTATAATAATTTTCTTTTTAATCGCTTAGCCAAATTAGCTTATAATAGAAATGTGTGACTGATACATGATACAAAGTGCAAGTTAATACCAGCTTCTTTAGTGTTCAATTTAATCATCACTAAAATCCATGTATTTATACCTTATTTAATCTAATCTTGGTATGATACATCGATGCAGCAATATTTTCAAGACATAACAACGGTCTTTCTAAGTAAATCGACCATAATGGGTTCATTTGTAGTGTTTGTGCTATGCTAACACTTTCAGAATCCAGTCTGTAATTCACGCTCAGAGAAGAAACCTGTCATTGAAGAGGAATATCTCCTCCTCTGGCTGTGAGTCTGACGGCAGATTTCACAAAATGTTTTTGTTCTGTACGTCTCCCAGGGATGACAGCGGCAGCCTCCCTGGTCTCTCTGGCCTGGGCCCTGGCCTCCTACCAGAAGGCGCTACGGGATTCTCGGGACGACAAGAAGCCCATCAGCTACCTGGCCGTCATCATCCAGTTCTGCTGGCACTTCTTCACCATCGCTGCCAGGGTCATCACTTTCGCCCTGTTCGCCTCTGTGTTTCAACTCTACTTCGGCATCTTCATTGTGCTGCACTGGTGCATCATGACCTTCTGGATTGTCCACTGCGAGACAGACTTCTGCATCAGCAAGTGGGAGGAGATTGTGTTTGACATGGTGGTGGGCATCATCTACATCTTCTCCTGGTTCAACGTCAAGGAGGGACGGACAAGGTGAGGTCCATGAAGTGTGATGAGACCTGAGGAAAAACATTGTTTCTGATGCTTGATCTTTTTAATGCAATGTAAGGTCTGTTTGTATTCTGTGTTGTAGTCAAATTACATTTTATTTAGGAATTCTGAGTTTAAAATAACTTTGTGGTAAAGAAATAACCTTTTACGGTGGTTTGCCTTTTATACATCCATGGTCATTTGTAAATTGACTGCATTTATACAGATCATTTCCAGTCTTTGCAATCACCTAAAAGGCTTTTACATATACAGCAAATCAAACCACCCATGATGGGCTTACAAAGATCTGTGTTGGAAAGATGACCCTAATCACTGAAATGCTCACAGCCCAATGTCAAATGCCCAATTCCAAACACACACTTACCTATCTTGTTCGCTAACTGTTCCTTTCTATCATGTCTCTGTGCAGGTGTCGGCTCTTCATATACTACCTGGTGATTCTGGTGGAGAATGCTGCTCTCAGTGCGTTGTGGTACCTCTACCGCTCGCCCCACACCACTGACGCCTTCGCAGTGCCAGCTCTCTGCGTCATCTTCAGCAGTTTCCTCACCGGAGTGGTTTTCATGCTCATGTACTATGCCTTTTTCCATCCCAACGGGCCTCGCTTTGGCCGCTCGCCGAGTGGCCAGGCACTGGACCTGGACCCCACTGCTCAATTCTCCACGCTACCGTCCGAAGGTGCCACCAACTCGCTTCGTTCCAACCGGGGTGCCACCACAACTCTGGAGCGCGACATGGGGAAGTATTCCGAGCGGGACGGCTGCATGCCAGTTTTTCAGGTCCGACCCCCAGCGCCATCCACGCCATCGTCCCGTGCTCCGCGCCTCGATGAGACCGTCATAAAGATCGACCTTTGCAGGAACCGCTACCCTGCGTGGGAACGCCATGTCCTCGACCGCAGTATACGCAGGGCGATCCTGGCCATAGACTCCTCACCGACTCCTCCGCGGCTGCAGTACAAAGACGACGCTCTGGTGCAGGAGCGGTTAGAATATGAGACCACGTTGTAGTTCCACTGCTCTCAGAACCCAAAGAGGGGTGCTGCGGTCAGAGGATTATCCTGCTATCACAAGAACAGCAACAGGGTCTGTGGCAATAACAATTTGTTACTACCAACAATCTCACGTTCCATCTCTCATTACCCCTTTTCTTTTTCTATTCCGTAGCACCACCAAGGATGAAAGACGGTAAGCAACGTGTAGGAGTTTTGACCACGGCAAGAAGCGATTACTCTATAGACCGTTTTGACTGAATTACATTGCTATGCTACAGCTCGGGTCTATGACTACTTCCTGTCAGGTTATGTTATTAACTTAGACTGCAACACGAAATTAACTGGGACACTTTTAGAATGTTTATGTTTACAACTGTGAAAGGGTCTGTAATTGCCCAATGTGACACAGTGACCATAAATATTGTGTGTTCCAAACATTTTCTTCTTTGGCCTAGACATTCCATTATTCTGGGATGATGATGGTCTTCACTGGAAAAAGGTCATAAAGAACTGAAATAGTAGCATCTATACATAGTCATTGTGTTTTGTTTGGGTACAATTAACCAAACGTGGCAGGAGGGAAGGATGGGAAGCGACAAAGATGAGGTGAAAGCTGGACAGACACAACCTCACTGTTCTCCTATAAGAGATAAGTCAAACTCAAACAATGCCAAAAAAATATCTTCCTGGCAGCTCAACTCAACTACTTGCAGTCCGGCCTCATAAACATGGCTGTGCTATGACCTTTGTGGAGGTGATTGTGGGGGGTGGGGATCAGGAGACACAAGCAAAAGCGCCGAGATGAAAATGGGAAGGAAGACACATAACAGTCATCTCAGCCAAACTACACCAACCACCAGGAGATCTCTGATACTACATGCAGCATTTGTTTACTTTAGAGATGACGTAGAGGGTACTGAAGTCATTGTTTGTGGTTTGAGTGTCCAGAGTCTGCTTTTTCTTTCATAAACACACGTCATCTTCTGGGCAAAATGTTCCAGCAGCTTTTAACATTGTAACACCGAGCCACACAACACAGGTTAGCATGGTGCTGGCTTAGGAATGCTAACAAAGTGTTTTTTGATTAGCTGACATCCCACATTAAGAGCTTGATATAAGACCACCATTGTACCACATATTATTTTTAGGAAAGGGTATCTGATGGAATCCAGACATTTTCAGAGGGATGCCTAATGCACAGACAAAAAACAAAAATAGCAGGTGGGGGCTAGTAACAAAGTGTACCTGTACCAAATTAGACTACATTTTAGGTGAAGTAACAAAGGAAAAATAATATATCTTAATGGAAGTTTGAGATTATGTTAGCACGGATGCTAAACTCTACAGAGAGGGCTGATGGAGACTTACTTCTATACATACATACATACATACATACATACTGTAAGGTTCTTTATACAGTATTCAAAACATTAGTATAGTAGCAACGATGTACTATGCAAAGATATAGTGGTTTCTGTGTGTTGTAATTCGAGCTCCTCCGTGCTTTCATAAGGAGCCAGTCAGGCAGGGTGTGCATGCTAGCGCATGTGAGTCCTGTGTTTGGCTAGCTAATGGTCACTGTTCTGCACTGCGCTTACACGGAGGTTGGCTGTTACGTTTTCTAAACATCCTCGTCCTTACCCACAGGATGTTGCACAAACTCAGAAATCAGCCACCCTTCGTTTCTCCCTCAGGTTAACACTGTTAGCTCTGTTAGCTTTCCCTGCTAGCACCATTAGCTTAACCCTCACCATGTTGAGAGCTGTGTGGAGGCAATCCCTCAATCATAAATATGCTCTGAATTCCTCATTGAGAACCTTTATTGAGATAGAGGTGGACTTCAGTTTAGCTGTGTCGCCCACTGAAGACCTTTTGAAGTAGACGATAACATTATAGTAATGCAGCCACTAAGTTGTACTACAATTCCTACCATAATGTTTTCCCATAAAATGAACACCTGGGTGATTAAAGTGTTAAGGTTCCATCAGATCAGCAGCATGACATTGATGTCCTGGATAAGGGCAAGATAGTACCGGATGATAAGGAAACAAAACTTAAAGGTCCCATGACATGGCCATTTCTACTGATCATAATTCCATTGTTGAGGTCTATTAGAATTGTTCAATGTTCCAAACTCACATTGGTTTCTCATACAGCATCTCTGTATAGTATGTGTATTCACTCTCTGTCCTAAACGGCTTGTTGGAGCTCCTGCCCCCCCCCCCCCCCCCCCTATGAGCCCACTGTGCTCTGATTGGTCAGCTCGCCCACTCTGTTCTGATGAGTCCACCACCGTTACAGCGGAACATCCAACACAGTCTCACGATATTTCGTGTTATAGTCACAAAATTAATCTATTGTTTCGTGTTCACCAACAAGATTTTGCAATTTTTTTCGTGTCACACAGAACGATTTAAAAAGCAATGTAAATAATAACAAATTAGAAGGAAAAACTGATTAAAAAAATTACAGATTTCAGTATTCTGACACAGAACGATTTTAGAAGCAATGTATTTATATTGGTAGTATGTTTCGTGCCTGCACCAAATAATAACAAGTTAGAAGGAAAAAAAGATGACATAAAATACAGATTTCAGTATTCTGAGGCTCTGAGCCATTTCTTTTCCTCGCTGACGGCAAAAAAATCCGACATTATACAATTTAAAATAAAAGGGATGGGTTAGGCTTAGGGTAAGATATTGAGTAAGAACATGTTTTTATGAACCACACAGCTTCTGGTCTTCCAAGACCCGACCGGACAAAAAGACGTGGTGCAGGCACGAAACATACTACCAATAGAAATACATTGCTTTTAAAATCGTTCTGTGTGACACGAAAGAAATGCAAAAATCGTGTTGGCGAACACGAATCAATAGATTAAATTAATTTCGTGACTATAACACAAAATGGCGTGAGACTGGGTTGCAACATCAGTGATTATGTGTTACAATGGCATTTGTTAGCAACCAGAAAATGACACCAGTAATGACAAACAGATGAGAATGCTGCGTGGGGTCTGGGTGCCGTGTTGGCGGGACGTTGCGGGGCTCGCTGCTGCGGACAGTGTGAGCTGGATTACTGGGGTCGTTTCCTGGTTGCTGCGTGGGGTCTGCGAGGAGTTTGTGTGTGTGCTCAGGCTGAGTTCAGGTGAGTTTCGCGGTGTCTCAGGCTGCGTTCAGGCTGAGAAATCCACGGAGCCGCAGCTGAGAAAAGATAAGGCTGAGTGAGTGTGTGTGTGTGAGGAGCTCCACGGATTGGTCCATTTGTTAGAGTTGTACTCGCTACAGGGTGTACTTTGAGGGTTTGTGACTTTGCAGACCGTTTACATGCATACAAAGCTACATAACACATAAGGGGACGGGTAATAACCGGAAAAGCATGACATGGGACCTTTAAGATCGGACCCACCACTATTGGCACCGAGAGACAATGTCCTGTCATATTGCGTCAGAGGAAAGTTCAGGGTCGGACCATCAAAATATCAGGTGGAAAAACTTCAATTAATAGCAGATTTCAATCAAATCCTGACATTAATGATAGTTCAAAATGTTTTCAAATTACAATGATGACTGAATAAGCAAAATAAATTCCATGATGACACTTACCGTGAGGTCTGATTAAAGTGTTGGACAGATACTGTCCATAACTTAGGCCTCACTGATACCATTTTCATGGTGTCCTCATAATATACTGGGCTTAATGAAAAACAAACCCTCAAATGTCACAGTGATACGGATCAGAGTGCAAACAGACAGCTCCAGACTGCAGACAATGGAGAGCTCTACCATCTACGCCACACCCCCAATTAAAACTGCTTGACTTCAGGGAATGCTGGAAGGCAAGAAGAAATTACATCATCACATATTTCAAATCAGCTGCCACATTCACCATGTTCAGGAATTTCAGCTCCCTAAATTGACATTAGAGTCAGGGGCAATGATATCTACGGTAACAGAGTGACTTTTACATTTTATAATGTCTGCACAAAATAAACGTTGTGGTTCTTTTTTGTATTGTTTTATGTCACAAGTGCAATGTTTGTTTTTTTACCACGAATGGCAAGAAGAGAGCAAAGCACAACATGAGTCAAAGGGATAATTACAGCATAAACTAAAACCCTCTTCATCCTGCTGAGACCACCAGCCCCCGGCAGTCAGCTGCTCTGACCTCATCTGGTTTAACCATTCATCTGTGAAGTCTGAGTTCTGTTGCTGATCTCATTCTTTTGGTTACAGTTATACATCACTAAAACGAGTGTGTAAAGCCCAATATATACAACCCACAGAGGGAATCAGGTTTCCATGTGCAGGTTTCCCAGCAAATATTTTCATATTCCATCTATTATTTGTTATTAAATCAATAGAAATAAATTGAAATGCCTAATTTTAGTTCTTACAATTATGTTTTGGTGGTGGCAAACACAAAGTGTACCCTGTATCTTAAATGATTTGAACACATTTTTTACTTCTGCACCAATCTGCTATGTTCTGTCAGAGACACAGCTTAAAGGACCATACCAGCGGTTAGCATGTTTTAGCCATGTCACATTTAATTGATCAAAGCCAATCATTTTTGCAAAGCATGCTGCTTTGTTTTAGAAATGCTTCTGTACTTTTCGACGATTCAAGAGGACATTCTTTTCCTGCAATTTAGCATAAAAAACATTTTCTGAAGATCATTGAATATTGTCAAAGTTCTTTTAAGTTGAATGAATATGCAGAATGCATTTATAACCGTGCAAACCAATGGAGGCTGTAGGCAATATACATCAATGATAAAATACAATGTTACTGACAATAGTAATGTGAAGTTAGAGCTAAAACCTGTGAAAAGGGTGGTATGGTTCTTTATAACGTGTACACCTTTTTTTTTGTCTGCCTTTTTAACATGTTTTCAAGTGACTTATTTTAGTTTACAACGTGGCTAATGAAACAAAGTCACATAACTTAAATATTCAGATTATTTTATTTTGCCTTGTCACTAGTGAGTGTCTGTTCAGTGTGTGTGCACTTTTGCCTTTATTTTGAACTTTTGGTACATTACAAATCTTACACTTTTAAGTCTGTCGCAGGATTTGGGGTGTTTACATTTGAGTTTATAGGTTGCATAAAGCCTTTTTAAATCTGCAGGTGTTGAGATAAAAGTAGTTAGTTTAATAAAATTACACACCAGAATGTCCTGCATTTGGTTTTTGTAGACACCAGGTCCTGTCAACTAGATTAAAAAAAAGCACATATGTTTAGGATCAGAGCATGGCATACAGTGTACAAGGCTGCAGGAGTATATCCAGCTGCTGGGCATATGAGGAAGAAAAACAAACTTATATTTGATTTCTGCTTCTCCTGGAAGCAATGAAATCCACGTTAAATAATCTATTTTTTTTTTGGTAAATAATTAGTTAATCATTTTTACATGTTGCATCTGACAGGAAGCAGAGCAGCGAAAAGTGTCTGGCAATGGAGCAACTTCTCTTTAGAACAAAGCTTCTCTACAGAGTTATGCAGAAATTACTTATTTTTGTAGGCCGACCTTGAAGTTTGCATCGCAAGCAACAAACAGTAATGGGATTTTTCCTACAACTAATATCCTTCAAAGTCAATGCAATAAATGTCAAGTCACTGAAAACATTGCCAATTATATGAACCAATCAGACAAGATTTCTCAACAGCTGATGGTTAGCTGGACAGTGTCTCAAAAAAGAGACACAAATTGGAAAGACTCATCATGAACTGATAAGGATGTGTTACTTAAGATTGAAAAGTACGTCTTCTCTGTAGCCTACTCTGTGTAAATGCAGCTTTCAATAATTTCTAAGGGGTGTGAAACATCTCATGTTAGTTCATTTGCAGTTTAAATCCAGTGTAGCCTTTGTTTACTCATCTCCATCCCATTAACTGACATATATGTATACTGATATGTTAGATGTGTACTGATATATACTGAACATAAAGCTACCTCAGTTTGTTTCATGGACAGAATACCCTCCACCTTCCCATCGGCAATACAACTCCTTCTGTAACTCAGACAAAACAGACTCCAGAAGTCTGACAAAGTCATTTCTGTAATTAGAAATAGAAAACTCAATTTGTGCCAAACTGAAAATGCAAACATTTTACTTTAATTTGAAATCTGTTTTTCCAGATACTCATGAAAAAGGCCATTTCCATCCAATTAAATTGGCTTTATTGGCAGTCATTTTTAAACCTGTCAATCAAAATAGTAAACTGAAGTCTATTGGGGTTAGTATCACTGCCCTGAGATGAGTGGAAATGAGATGCTGTGTTAAACAGCAAAGAGGAATCCTCCATTCATACAGGTGGGGGTATCCTGCTCACTGCAGGAAGTTCATCATAAATCCACACACTCCCTCCATCACTCTACTCATGACTCTCAAAAGCTGCTTTCTATGTTTTGTTCGCCTTAAAGAGAATCTATTTGTATTTCTGTCTTTACTTCAACCTCATCACCCAGGACATTGTTTGAGGCTGTACTGAATGCACAGCTTGATTTTCTGGTTAGCCAACGGTATGTGTGTATGTACGTGTGTGTGTATTTAATAATTAGCAGTTACTGTGCTTATACTAGGACTGAGTCAGTGTCCATAGGGAGATGTTATAGGATGGAGTCTCTCAGATCATAGCTTGGTGTCCTGCTGTAGGGAAAATGGCTGATTGGCTTTGGTTATCCAAAATCCAAATTGTAAGTCACTTTGGATAAAAGCTTAATGGCATGTAATGTAAAAGAGACAAAACTACAAAAACCACTAGACCATACATTAAGCCATGTTCAAAACAAATGTGTATCAACATTTTTGTTAATTATTGTCAAAATCAAACTCTTTTGAAAGCTATTACGTTCCTCTCTAGTTTAGATAAAAGAGAATGTCACATGTGCAACCTCCAACGGTTCCTAACGCGACGGTATGTGAACCTGCTAGACAACACAAGTGGCTGTTTAAGAAGATATAAACTTGATTAATTTCATGAGGGGATTCACTTTTCACAGGTTAGTCCTGAAATACACACATGCACA